GGGCCCTTGCCAGGGCTGCTCCGGGCGCTGCTCGGCCTCTGGGTTGCCCTGGGCCTGGGGCTCATCGGCCTCTCAGGTAAGAGCCCGTCCCGGCTCCGGGTGGACAGGGCGGGGGCGGAGTTCCCGACCGGAGAAGAGGTCACATGCCCCTCCCGGCTCCGCCCTCGCCTCGCTCCCACGCTTCTGCCCCCACCTTGAGCCGTGGGCTTTCTTTATATCTCTCCCTCCAACACACACTGGAGACACAGCTTCTCGACTCCTCGCTCGCCCAGATCTCTACCATACCCCCTTCGAGATCCTGGGTTCTCTTCTGCACCCAACCTTGCACCTCGGAAACCCGGTGTCGCCGGGGACCTCCGCAGGCTCTGCTATGCACCATGGTCCACGGATTGGCATCTTACCCACTTGCGGCCCGCGAAGACCGGATCTCTCCATCTGCCGTCACTCAGAGGCTCTGTTCCCTCCCCGCCCTAGGCCTGGCAACCGAGTTCCTCGATGTTTCCTCGGTTCCTTTCTTGAGCCTAGCCCCGCGACCTCTTTTCGTGTTCTTCGCTCTCATCCTTGATTCGGCTTCATTTCTCCTTTGCCCTCCCCTCAACCTCAGTCTCCCCTTCTCTCCGTGATAACCCTGAGAACCAGTGGTTCCCCTTCCCCCACCTGGGGTCCCCTCCTCCCAGGGTGCTTGGGTATGGCGAAGATCCCATCCTTCCTCTCACCTTCCCCCATCCCTCCCATGCGTTCCCACCACCCAGCTGGCACCTTGCAGACCAGGGCCCTCCGCTGCCATGTCCCAGAGGCTCCCTATAGGTTGTGCCCTGGAAGCACGCCTCCAAACCTGAGGCCGGAGCAAGACGCTGGATTGGAGTTCTCTGTCTCCGGCCTCTGCTCCTTCCCCGGGAATGCCGGACTCAGCGCCGGGGGCGCTAAGATGCCAGAGAGTGGGTTCCCAGGCTGAGCCCGCATTTCTGCATTTCTCCGGGCAGCGGTCGCGCAGGAGCCTCTCTGGGCGGACCTGCAGCCCCGCGTGGCGCTCGTGGAGCGCGGGGGATCGCTGTGGCTGAATTGCAGCACCAACTGCCCGCGGCCCGAGCGCGGAGGCCTGGAGACCTCGCTGCGCCGGAATGGGACCCAGAGGGGTTTGCGCTGGCTGGCGCGGCAGCTGGTGGACATCCGAGAGCCAGAGACCCAGCCTGTCTGCTTCTTCCGCTGCGCCCGGCGCACACTGCAGGCTCGTGGGCTCATTCGTACTTTTCGTGAGTTCTCAGCGGCCATGCTCTAGTCTAACCCCACTACTTTCCCTCCCTCCCAGGCCCCGCCCCCTGGGTCATGCGGTCCTCCCCTTCAGGCCCCTTCTTCTGGATCCCCAAACCCACACCTCTCGGCCCTTGGGTACCACCACACGTTTCCAAGAACCTGGGTTCCTCCCTTGCAGAGCGGCCTGATCGTGTAGAGCTGATGCCCCTGCCTGCCTGGCAGCCTGTCGGCGAGAACTTCACCCTGAGCTGTAGGGTCCCTGGCGCTGGGCCCCGTGGGAGCCTCACAGTGACCCTGCTGCGGGGCGCCCGGGAGCTGGTCCGCCGCGCGGAGCTGGACCTGCGGCCCCACGGCCTGGGGTTGTTTGAAAACCGTTCGGCCCCCAGAATGCTCCGAACCTTCGGTGAGTGGGTGTGGGGAACTGAAGGGGACGCAGAGGGGTTGGCCCGGTGCTTGAGAAGTTCGGAGGCAGAGAGGTCCGAATTCTAATCCTCGCGCCAACACTCACCAGCTGAAAGCCCTTTTCCTCTGGCTCCAGGATAGCGGGATAAGATCGTGCTCGTAAAACGCTTAGTACACACATGGTGGGTGTTCAGCACGTAAGTTCAAGCTCTCTTCTTCGACTCCCAGCACTGTCTCCGGAGCCCCCGCGCCTCGCTGCCCCCCGGCTCTTGGAAGTGGGCTCGGAAAGCCCCGTGAGCTGCTCCCTGGACGGGCTGTTTCCAGCCTCGGAAGCCCGGGTCTACCTGGCGCTGGGGGCCCAGAGGCTGCATCCGGACATCACCCTCGAGGGGGACGCGCTCAGGGCCGCTGCCACAGCCACGGCGAGCGCAGAGCAGGAGGGCGCCTGGCAGCTGGGCTGCAGCGTGACCCTGGGGCGCGAGAGCCGCGAGACCTGGGAGAACGTGACCGTCTACAGTAAGAGGGAGCGGGGTGGGGCCTCTCGGGCTCGGGGGTGGTGCCAGAGGAACGCGAAGGCGGGACAGAGAGTGCGTGGGGTCTTAGTATCCGAATGGGCGGGGCCCACGGAGGGCAAACTGAATGACGAGAGAGGCGGGGTCTGAGCGGCTGGGCGGGGCTATGGCTTGACCCCCGCCGAGTGGCGGATTGAGGAGGGGCGGGGCCTTAGCAGTTCGAGGGGCGGGGCGTCGTATCCACCGAGAGTTCCCGCAGATCAGTGGTGTGGTCGGTTGACTCCGAGCGAATGTTCCACCCCTAGGTTTCCCTGGCAGGAGGGCGCCGGGCAGCTGGGCTGCAGCGTGACCCTGGGGCGCGAGAGCCGCGAGACCTGGGAGAACGTGACCGTCTACAGTAAGAGGGAGCGGGGTGGGGCCTCTCGGGCTCGGGGGTGGTGCCAGAGGAACGCGAAGGCGGGACAGAGAGTGCGTGGGGTCTTAGTATCCGAATGGGCGGGGCCCACGGAGGGCAAACTGAATGACGAGAGAGGCGGGGTCTGAGCGGCTGGGCGGGGCTGTGGCTTGACCACCGCCAAGTGGCGGGATGAGGAGGGGCGGGGCCTTAGCAGTTCGAGGGGCGGGGCGTCGTATCCACCGAGAGTTCCGGCAGATCAGGGGTGTGGTCGGTTGACTCCGCGCGAATGTTCCACCCCTAGGCTTCCCCGCGCCCCTCCTGACCCTGAGCGCGCCCAGCGTCCCCGAGGGGGAGACGGTGACAGTGACCTGCGCTCCTGGGGCCCGAGCTCTGGTCACTCTGGACGGAGTTCCGGCCGCAGCCCCGGGACAGCCCGTCCAGCTCCAGCTAAACGCCACTGCGAACGATGACAGACGCAGCTTCTTCTGCGACGCCACCCTCGAGGTGGACGGGGAGGTCCTGAGCAAGAAAGAGAGCACCGAACTGCGAGTCCTATGTGAGTTGAGCTCTCGCCTCCCCCCTGGTGATCTCCAGGGACCTGCCCAGTCCCCAGCCGTTTGTGGAAGTGGAGCCTTTCCCACGGTCCACGTGGAGCCTTCTCTACCCCACATCCCTGCCCGCAGACGCTCCCCGGCTGGACGATTCGGACTGTCCCCGGAGCTGGACGTGGCCCGAGGGCCCAGAGCAGACGCTGCGCTGTGG